AAAGTAGAAATGAAATCAGAGCAACAAACATTGCTAGAGAGCAGGAAAGGAGGTGAAAGGAGACAATTTTAGAGAAGAAAATGTTTCGGTCGCTACCCGGATTCGAACCCGGGACCTTTGAATGAGAGGCCAACACCTTAACCTCTAGGCCACGAGAGCCCCCCTAAAAGTATCTATATGTCATATTAATGACTTTTAAAAATACATGTAACGGTTTATATTCTATATATTTGGATTTACCTCAAAGCATTCTATCTTATTATGTCACTGTATATGAAGGTACGAAGCATATTTGCTAATCAGTTCCTATTCCATGGTTGTTGAAATTAAGCACCACTTACTTCCTTGTCTATTAAGCACACATTTCGAAAGTCGATTTCGTCTCGATTAAAGTGAGTTTTTTTTAACGGCTTAGTACATCAATACTTTGACTTCAAGTCCAGAGTACAAGGTATTCAGCCTTCAGCCATGTGTCATCTTTAGTCATACCAGCGGTCTTGATTCCGGAGTTGATGACGTAACTTTTAAATAATAGTCAGTGCCGAAAATAACGGCGAAATAGAGAAATGTACTGTGTGCGACAACATAAAACAAAACCAAGGCCCATGTACATAATAAATCGTACTTTCCTAAAATGAGAAAGGAAAGCACGTATAAGGAACATTCCGTTTCAAAAACACGACCAGACAAAACCAACAATACGAACAGAGACTTACAGTCTGCTAGGTGGGCCGGAATCCCCTTCCAGACACTTGATAAGTCCGTGTGTTCAGATGCACGTCGTTCTGGCACGGCGTGACCTCTGTCCACAAGAATACAAACAATCAAAAAGTCTCGAGCGCGTCCAGAGAACAACAGCGTAAACGCATCTGCCACTACTGATGAGTGGCGGTGGTTAGCGAAGCAGCCTCCTCGACCACAAACTAATAGTATTAGTGAATCTGACGTACGCCGCGCGGCGCCAGCGAGTCGGAGGGGAGAGAGAAGCACGCACCCGATCGATGCGGCACGCGCGTCGGGTGAGCGACGGCAAGGAAGGCCGAGATGTGGCGAACCGAGTAGGGCGCTCACGAGCAGACTCCACTGGAAAGGCGGGATCTTGGTTCTCCTGACTATGCTTTACAGCTCCAGGTCTCTTAGAACTCCGTCTTCAGGGTTTCCTAGCTTCAAATCACACGACGCCACATAAAAGAATCGCTTTGGGGCTTCCGTTGAATAATGCCGCTTGATTTGAAACTGATGACACCCCGCTAGAATATCGCCACCAGGTTGCCTGTTGCTAAATCCGTTGTTTATGCAACGAACGTACCTTATATAACAGTCACGTGGTCTTCAAACCGCTGATACTTATCGCAGAGACAATCAGCGTGGCTTTGGTCCTAACACAAAGCAGTCACAACAAAACGTTTTGGTGAGGGTTTCCAGAAAGACCGTCTTCAATCTCTGAGTTATGTCGTAAACGCAACAATGTCGTTACCATTGATGTAGCTTGCAAAACAACAAGTGTCTCAGCAATGCAAGAGCTCAGGAATTCGATCAGTTGCTGCAACTAACTGCTCATGTTGCAACAGTAAGTAGCTGTCTCAGTCGAATTATTATAACAAAAAAGCACGCACTACAACGCAGATTTAAGAAAGCGTTAACAAAAATCGGTAGAGAACAAGATAATAGTTGCTGCTGGAATGTCATCCAGAAAAGGGATCGTATTACTGTGAGGCAATGTTTACGAATTTTAGGTTGTGGTACAAGCAACGACGTAACATATAATTAGGTAGCGCCGCTACTTCGCATTTAGCTGAAGACAAACAGACAAGGGTTCAACTCGACCGTAAACAAAAGTGTACTGTGATAAAACGGTCGAAACTGATTGGGTATAATATGAGGAAAGATGGTTTGATATCGACGTGGCTGCTGTACTGAAGACAGCTGGTACTTTTTAAAAAACAGTTTCCTTTTCGTTGGGATTTTGTGAGTTTATAAAAATGTTATTTTGATGTTGATCGTCTTCTCACAAAGAAATAAGACAGCGTTTTGATTTTGGTCTGAAATGTTGTTAAACTGATTCTAAGTGAATCAGTAGCGATATTTTGATTAAGTCTTAATAGATTGTTGTATATAAATAGAAAACGATTAATAAGCGACTTCAGAACGAATGGGCACAAGCATACACTGAAGTCGAGGTCGGTTCTATGAGTGAGGTAGTCTTGACAAGGCGGTCTCTCTTTGCGTCGTCGGGAATTTTGATTTTGAAAACTGTGGGCGAGACAGAAACAGACAGAACTAGAACGGTCGATCTGTGGTGGAGACAGAGCTGACAGGTGGTGTGAGGACGCTGCTGCTCCTCCTTCTCCTCCAGCTGTTCCAGCTGCCGCTGTTCTTGATGGCGCTGTCGCCAACTTTCACTGGAGTAGCTTGAATGATTTTGGGTATGACTGAGGGCGAGGAACGTAGCCAGCATTCGGGAATGGTGCACTTTTACGTAGCTGACAGAAGGCAAGGA